TATATGCCTGCTAAATCATTGTAATTGTATGTATTGCTGTTGGAAGTTGCCATGGGATGTTGTCATGATTAAGTGTTGAAAACACCATAAAGACTGAAGGAACCCATAAAATAGGGTTGAGCAACAAGTCCAGGGAGGTACAGGTTTCCTGCCATCCATATTGTGGTCATCATGATCTGACAAATTTCATTTATGTGTCAAAATAGTTTTAGTTCTTTATAACATGCTGTGAATTATTTTAAAGGCTATTCATAGAATCATACAGTATTATTCAGTTTCTTACCAATGCCAGGTTCATCAGCTAAAGCAGTCTTGAGACGTAGCTATCCGATTCTGTTTAAAGGCCACCAAGAAGGGAAGTCCACCACCCTCAAAGACAAACTGTTCCACTGTTGAACAGCTCTTTCCATCAGGAGGTTCTTACATTTCTTTGCTCATGATATAACAGCAGTGGGAGCATAATGTAGCACCTGACGGGGCTGGGGAGGCCATGTAGCCTCCTAGCCTTCCAAATTGCCCCTCCCCAAAGAATGAACTCTTTGAAAAGGACAGTTTCTTCTTTATTTGGTTTCCTTACCTATTTCTCTCTCCAAACCAATGCACACGTTTAGCATTTTATACTGTGACCTTTTGTTAAGACCATGGGGTAAGGCACATTCCTCCAGTTTGCAAATGAAATGCAGCTTCGCCCCAAACAACACAGTCTATGATAAGGGATAATGGGCATGGTGGAAGAACCTCAGAATAACAGTATTCCAAAATAAGAGTATGTGTTAAGTGATTTTCCCCTAGCTTTTATATTCGTCAAAATGGGCAACGTTCCACTGAGAAATATTGTACAATTTATAATTAGACTCACTTCAACCCCAGCCCACCCTGCATCTTCAGTCCCTTCTTGACTGGCTCTTGTTAAGAATCCATTTCAAAATTTTACATTTAATTCCAATTGGTCTAGTCCTCAAGGCATTCAATAAAGTCACATTTAGGCTAATGAATTTCCATTAATATCTGGAAGTTAAAATTAATTTAATGTTTTAAAGTGTAAATGATATTCAGGCTCTTTTAATAAATGTATGTTCATCTAGGAAAGAGCTAATTTCTTGCTGTGCAAACCACGACAGGGGATATTATTCTGGACATATATAAAAAGTGAGATGGGTATTAATACACAACCGCTTCCATTTGCATTCAGTCCTGTGCAGAAGATAATGAATCTCATCTGGTATTGCAGAAACAGACAACTTTCCACAATGAAAGGGGTGCACTGGACTGTCTGGAGCTCACTGGGAGCAACACCACCAATCAATGTATTACTGCCACTAGAATTTGGCAGCTTTCATAGCCGTTGTACTAGTTGCTAATTTTCCTAGTGGTAGTATCTTGTTGGGAAAGTGCTTTCCACAGATAAGCTGACATGACAGGCCAGGTGGAGAACTTTTATTTTTCCTCATATTTCAAGAGTTGTTCCTGTGCTCTGTGATCTTTTCATTGTATCATTCCTGTTGTTGGATTTACTTTCAGTTATAATAAATATTGGTGATTATATCTGATTTTTTTTTCTTCACTTGCTTTCTCATTATTGTTTTTGTGCTACTTTATACATTATCTGCCTGGTTCCAAAATACATTTGATTATTAGCTACTTAAAATGTAATAAGTCAAGACCACGATCCAACAATGTCCAGTTAAGAATGGAAACAGATGTAAAGTTTTATATACAGGTGTTTCTTGCTTTTCAATGGTTCTCCATTCAAAGGTCTGCTTTTTGACACTAATCAGAACTACTTTTCTTCTGCACTTCATTCATCTCACCCACCCACCCCCAAACCTCATCCAATCAAATATGTTTTATGGAAAAGAGGACATTTTGCACAGGTGTACTTCATTTGGAAACTTTTCTTCTTATCCTGCCCACCCTCATCCATCCCTCTGCTTTTTCTCCCATCCTACGCGTTCTACCTGTGCATGTTGTCTTCTTCTGTTCATAACTGTGTTTCTGCTGACCCAGTTGTCTCAAAGACTGGGTTCCACATTTCTACAATCTCTGGTTTTCAACAAGTTCTCTGGCCCCCAATCTGTCAAATAAGTGTGGAGGAGAAAAGCAGTTTACATATCACACTATCCCAACTTCGTAATCTATAGAGGCATTTCAGAGATACATATTCTTGCAAATCCTTTGTGTAGTAGTGTACAAACATTGATGTTAATAAAAAGCAACAAACATTTGGCCACTATCATTTCTATAGCTGAGGCTGTAATTCTATACATACTTATCTAGGTGAAAGTTCCACTGAACACAATATAAGTTGCCTGTAAGATGTAACACTTGGCCACCTTTCAAGGAGAAATGTGGGCATGTTTTGTTGTTTTTTAACTGTAATTAGACCATCAGGTATTTTGTTTTTTTCTCACTGTTATTAATTTGCATTCCCATAACAGAAGCTCAACACTGAAGAAACTGATAGCTATATAATATATGGTTATTATGGGGAAAAACCCTGATGAGATAGCAAATGATAGTCAATCCTATTAAAAAGATTAAGTGTGCACTAAAATACAGACACACAAATACCCCTTTAAAAATCCCTATATTGCTGGGATTGGGTTTAGTTGATATGATTCTACAATTCGAGAAGAAATTACAAAACATCTGCAATGAAATTGGTTTTCTGTAGAAAACTGATGAATCACTTACTGCCAATGACTGGAAGGAAGGAAAAATACTTGTTTATGCCCTTATGTAATGAATTTTTATGAGGTGAAATGTGTGTATGTGTGTGTGTGTGTGTGTGTATATACACACACATACTGTCAGAGATGTAAAATAATAGAATTTTAAATTTGAAGCAATGAATTACTTCAAAGACAATCATGAGCAGAATAGTATCCGCTACCAAAGACTCAAGCAGACCCATTATTCTTATAATGGCATTAACATTTTTCATCCATCCAGTTAAATGATTGGAGGGGGTATTAAATGGGGCGTAAGCCACATACCAGACTGGAAAACAGATACACATCCCTATTTTTATTTTATTTTGAGTCTCAGACTGTTTTTTCTCTAACAGGAGAAAACAGGTCGGAGAATGGGAAGCATTCCGGAAGAATAAAGTTCTTCAAAAATATACATTCATAAAGACCTTTCAATGGAAAGAAAGTTAAAGACAAGTTTTCTTTTTGTAGATACAAAAGTGCCTTAATACTTAAAAGAACTCCGTTCCCTCTAAAGATGACACAACAGCATTAGGAGAGGAAATTAACGGATATTCTTGCTTGTGGCTAAGGTGGGGAGACAGACGCTCTGTGCCAAGCTGACTGCTAAACTAATGATTACAACAACTTAATTACTTTCAGTGTGCTTAATATCAACCCCCCACGGATTTGTGTCAGACTGAGAACTGTAACTCTAGACCTCATTTGGCAATCGTTTGGGGAAAATTAGCTTGCTTAGGTGGCGAGGTGCATGTACATAGTGTGGAGTCTAAAGGGAGCCTTTCTGTAATTTTTTATGCTGCTTCCTGGATTTATTTTTTCCTGCCTCCTGGTAGAAAGCTGTTATCGCCCAGGCTTCCCCAGCCCGACACCCTCCAGATGTGTTGGTGGAAAACTCTCATCACCTCCAACAGCTGTGGCCAAGTGATATGCTAGTCAGGGATTATGGGAACTGTAGGCTAACACATGCAGAGCCTGCCAAGTCGGAAAGGTTGTTGTAACCACTGGCTGCCAATGAATGATCTACAGGGGGCATCTTTGTTCACCTATTGTTTGTCTAATACAGTCAATGCAAAACATCCATGAAAATAAAGCACCAGCAATTAGCTATTTTCATGTATGGGTTCATGCTTTATCATCAAGGCCATAAGCAAAACTATATACTTGTAACTCCCAATTAAAAGTTTTGCTACAAAATGTTGCTGTGACATCGATATAAGGTGGATGCCATGTTTATCTATAGATTGAATGCAAGGATCTCACTAGAATACACTTGTCTTCTCTGATTGGTTCCCATCAAGAACCAAGCTCCTTTAACCCAATGCCATGTTGGTTTTTAGGCCTATACCACTTCAACTCAGAGCATTATTTTCTTACAAGTCCAAGTGTACATGCCCTGAGGATGTGTTGGAACGAAGGCACTGAGGATCATTTCATCCTAGTGGCATTGAAGTCAAATTTAATAGAGTAAGGATAGAAATTCAAAATATCAGCCCTAATTCAGATTTATTTAATTGGCTAAGCTAGTTTTAATTCAACTGAATGTGTAGTATTACATGGTAAATAAATAGCATGATATGGCAGTCCCCAACTTATGAACAATTTAGGTTCTGTAGATTTGTTAAGTTGAATTGGTTTGTAAGTTGGAAAAGATACATTTTTAAAAGTGTAACACCAGGCAAATATATATTTATCTATTCTTTATTAATATATGTTTTTATTTGTGGTGTTTCTATACTGCCCTTCTCAACCCCGAAGGGGACTCAGGGTGGTTCACAGTGTGTATCTATCTGTCTATCCATTTATCCATCTTAGCTCTGGATAGCATAGGTTAACACACCTGTAGTATTTGTTTTGCTGTCCAGTTCAGAAGATTTCACCTCACTTTCTGTCCTGTGAGAATTGGATTTGGAAAAAAGAATGGCTTTTTGTGGAAACAAAGATTGGTGATAAACTTCAGTTGAGACACCTTTTCCTCATACCTTTCAGGAGTGAATTTCCCTTCTGAGGGGTAGATTTTTCTCACTTCTTGTTGTCTCACCCCCATTTGTAACTATAAATTGTTTGTGAGCCAGATGTTTGTAACTCAAGGACTGTCTGTAGTTCATTATGAGCTTATGTATGTCATATCAACCTATGAGGTCTTGTTTGTGTTGCATCCATATAGTTCAAATATATTTAGTTACCAATTTGAGTGACTATATTTGTGAATAGACTTCATCCACCTGAAAATGGTCAGTCTTTTAATCACTTTTGTTATGACAGTGTAAGAAAATCATTCCAAAATCATTATGCTTTTATTTTTAATTTATTATAAAGTTTCTTATATTGCAAAAATTACAGTAACTTTACAGTTCATGAAGCATTTACCATGAATTTATAAAACAGTATCCACCAATATAACATAAAAAGGTCATAATTATTACAATCAAAGCTGAATTGAAACATTGCTATAGAGAAACAGATTTCACAATTTATACTAAATAATGAACTTGAGGAAAATTTCTATTGTGTATTTACCTCTTTCATTTCAATTTTATATTTTAATGGCTGTAGATCTTGCATCTCTGTGCCACATTTAGGACAGGTAAAGTACATATCATGTAAGTAGTTACTTTTGACACAATAGTAACAAAAAACATGAGAACAACCTATGGTGTGAGGCATAGTAGGCCATTCGCCACACTGAGAACATTCCTTGTAGCATATCATTAAACTATTTTCATTCTTAGTATGTCCAGTAACTGGTAAAGACCACGAAGAAATTCTGAGCCTGAGTTTTTGCATATTAATAAGGGGTAAAAGAAAAATCAGAAATTCGGCAAATCCATGCCACAAGAGTTCTCTGTTCATGTAATCAAATCCAATTTGACGAATCCCTTGTGGCTTACAAAACACAGACCGGATTCTCAAAATACGTTCGGTGAGTGTCGCAAACTTTCCTTTCTGAAGAAAAACTAGGAAGTTCAGCAATTCACCAAGTTTGAGAAGTCCAACGACTAAATTAATGATGTACTTTGTCTTCTGGAATGATTCCAATGGACGATAGCTAAATAAATCGTAACACCTTTCTTCTAGCCACTTCCCGCCAACAATACAAATAAGATACCACCATTTCTGTTGTTTGCTCAATGTCTGGTATTTCTCCATCTGGGATAAGTCATTCTTGTACTGAATGTTAAGAATACTTTGTCCCACTGTTGCACTTTTGGAGTAGATGGTGAATCTCCACAAAAAAAGCCACAGAAATGCTTTCACCTCAGGTTCAACTCGAGCCAGGAGTCCAGGTTTAAATCCATGAAAACATCGAGTAAATTGGGACCACACCAACTCTTCCAGGGCTTTATTTAACTCAAGAGCATCAAGCTGACTTACTCGAAGTACAGGGGTCACTTTCTTGTCATCATCCCTGGATGCCATTGTCAGTGTGGAGCCTTCTGTGACAAAGAGTAGTTGTATCAATATAACTGTTGAGATTGAACTTTTTATTCTATAAATCCTGATAACAACTTGGTATGAACTATTATTCACATTAAAATCAAAATGGGAGGACATGACTAATTCCAAGGTCACTTGCTTACAGTGATCTGAACCCTGGAACAGATCTCCCAGGACATAAACTCAATGAAACAGTAGTGCACAACTTTGGCAGGACATAGTTTTTTCTTGTATTATTGTAAAGAATTGTGTACATTTGATACTATTAGATGATAACATTCACAATTGTCTTCTTTTAATGCTGATATTAATCTTTCCACTAAAAATCAATGTTTACTTCTATCAAATACTTGTACTACTCAGTAAGATGAACATCATGATCCCCATGCCCCCCTAGTTTAAAATGGCTCCTGTCAGCTGTTTGATTGCCACATGAACTGTTTGGCTGCAAGAAAAGATAACACTTCATTCCATTATTTTTTTTCCAAGTTTTTGTAATGTCATTAAATTACAATGTATTATCCCACCTTTCTCCTGGCGTGGCACCCAAAACAGCTTATAACATAAATTAAAACAAAACACAGCTAAAACTCCAATCATAAAATGTTTTAAAATCTCAAATGAGAAAACCTATTTAAACACAAACACTTTAAAACATGTTTAGAATATAGTAAAGAAAATGAAGGAGAAAAGAGTTATCGTTATTTCTTCTCTTGCTGCAGTCCAGTAAAAAATTCATTCCTTTGATGTGCTATTAGATCTGGAAGGAAAGGTCTCATTAGTCCTTAGAGCAGGAAATAGATGGCACAGAATAAAAACTGAGTGGCAATCTCCAGCTAAATATATACAGATACATGCATGGCCACTATTACATTGAGGCTAGCTTTAAAGATTCTTCTATGATGCCACCTGCCAGAACTCAGGTATGTAGTGATTTGACAGAAGGTTTTTTCCATGACAGCACTCCACTTCTGCCATATCCTCACAAGAGACACTTCCTGAAAGATAATCTTGATTTTAGTTTTCTGAACTGGTTTTGCCTCTGTGCTTTACTAAATCATATTTCTTTTTGCATCTACTTCAGTTCCATTGAGTTCAGTGGCTATTACTCTCAAGCTCGAGCCAACAGAAAAATATTATTTATTTACACTTGTAAATAAATAATCTTACATTACCTGTGCTTTAATGGTACAGATGTATCCAATGCCACCTCTCTGTGCCATTGGTTCCTTCTGATGCTCAGTGAAAATCTATCCTCCTGTAGTTTTGGACAATTGGACCTGATCCTACCCTCTGGCAGAAAAGCAGAAAAAAAGGCATGTCCCCTCCTCCCTGTTATAGCCCTTGAGATATTTAAAGAGTGTGATCATGTCATTCTTGAGTTTTCTCATCACATAGCAGAATATGCTCAGCTCCTTCAACTTTTCCTCATAATACAATTTGTAAGCCTCAAAGAAAGCCAATAAAGAGAACACACAAGGAGAATACAGCTGCTAATATATATGACAGGTTTTCATATTGTTAAAATTGTAAACAGCTGTGAAAGTTGTAACCTATCTACTTGCACAGCTCAAGTGACACATTATACATCATTTCTGAATAACCGCCTTAGCTGTGTTCTGTGGTATTATTATTTTTAAGCATAAATATGCTATAGTTCTCTAGGTATGATTAATATTTCAATATAGAGCTGATATTCAAAGAAACTGGGTTTGAGGGGAAATATATATGTATAATAATATAGGACTGTGACCCAAATGGCAACAATGATGTCCTGTGTGTAATTCTTCCAGATTTTCTCAAAAAGGCAAAAGCAATGAGTGTTACCACCCAAGCCAAAAGGACACTTATAACTGTTGACGTGCTCGGGTGAAAATTGATGTCCAAAGTTACATAATGTATATTATAGAAACATGGGATGTGGGTAGCATTAATGCAAGCAAATTAGACATTGTACATCAAGACATGTAATGTATAATATTGCAATACTTGGGGTGAGTGAGTTAAAGTGAACAGCAATAGGACAGTTTCAGGACGATAATTGCACAATGGTAATAATGATCAAGGAAATGAAAACTGAAAAAAATAAGGTGGCATTAATAATGAGGAAAGTTGTAGCAAAAGCGATCAGAGGCTATAATGCAAACTCTGACCAAATTATAGCAATATCCCATTGATATAGCCATATTCCAAGTTTATGACTCAACTACAGAAACAGAAGAGGAAATGGAAATTTTCTATTTTGGAGTCTAGGAGAAAACTGATCACACAAAATAGAAATTGTCTAGGAGATATCCCATCAATATAATCATATTTCAAATTTATGACTCAACTACAGAAACAGAAGAGGAAACTGAAAAATTCTATTTTGGAGTCTAGGAGAAAATTGATCAAACAAAACATAATAATAATAATAATAATAATAATAATAATAACTATTTATAATCCATCCTATGTCCCCAAAGGGTGGTTTCCAACGAAGGATGGCAAACAATCAGTGCCATAAAACAATAACAAAATGAACAAATAGCCCCACAAATAAAACACCTATAATGAATTATAACAACTACTCACAAAGTTTAAATGATTAAATAAAACATATAAATCTATTAAACCTACAAAGTAACAAAACCAATCAATTTAAAAACTGTTAAAAAAACCCACTGTTATATGATTTATCTGCCGCCAACAAGCCAGAGTAAGGTGTCGTGTTCTAGTCAAGGTTGTAAAACATAATACATGTTGATAGTCAATGGCAATTGGAACACAAAAGCAGAAAACAAAGCTGAAACAAAGATCGTTGAATTTGAAATAGGATCAAAAAATGAGGCAACAGAATAACTGCCTGAATTTTATGAGATCCACTGTTCACTGCAAACACGTTCTTCAGCCAACTAAAGAGGTGACTGGATACATGAAAGTCACCTGATAGTATCAAATAGACAATAGAATCAGGAGATGGACAAGCTCAATCCTCTCTACAAAAGAAAGACCAGGAACAAATGTGGCACAGACTACGCATTATTAATATGAAAAATTAGAGGAAAGTAAAAGATGAGCACTAATTCACTCACTGTGTCAAAATGCAACCAGAAAATATCCCTGAAGATGATATAAAAATAGATTTGCATTATTAAGTCCAGCTGAAAATTCTGGACCAAATCCAGGGTCACTGTCAGGGAGTAGTGCAAAAAAATCACTATCTGCTGCCAAAAAGAAAGAGATGAATTTCAAACCAAAGCAGGAAATTACATTTAGGCCAAAGAATTAATAGTGTCTGTAATGGTTGAAGAGAATAATTGTCACAAAAATGTTAGCCCTAAAAGCACTGGGTGTCTTCCATAACAACATGCACACCAAGGCCCTTTTTGATCTAGTCTACAGAACATCCTTCCCAAGTAAAATGGCTTGACATCTACACAAATGTATTTTTGTGCCAGGTAAAACCTCTATTTGTTTATCTTTTAGGATGCTGATTTGTTTTATTTGCCTGTAAAGTAACTTATAAAATTTTTAAATGATGTGCGATGCAGAAGAATGGTATAAAAATGTGTTAGATAAATAAATAAAATTGGAAAGGACACCTCATGGATGGAAGACTAGAGATTATTTCATCTTGCACTTTATGAGACTGATGTTGATTGCAGTTTGTTTTGTATCTACAGTATTGCTGCATTTTATTGATTTTAACCAGTGGGGTTTTATGATGCTATGTTGTTTGTTATTATTTTTATGTTATTGTTTATGCACTTGTATTTTGTGTTTTTGTACCTTTGTGTGCTTTGTGAGCTGCCCTGAGTCCCTTTGGGAGATTGTGGCAGGGTATAAATAAAGTATTATTATTATTATTATTATTATTAATAATAATAATAATAATAAAGACTGCAACAAATACTAGATGCTATAGGGTATCTTTAAGAAGAAATTACTGGCAAAACTACTTGAGTATTCCTTATCTAAGAAAAATCTATAGAGTCACCATGAGTCAATAGCCGACTTGAAGGCACATAAACCTAATCAATACGTTTAAGATTCAGAAAACACGTTGTCTAAAAAAATAGAAGTTATTCCTTCCCATTCATAATTAGTCATTATCTGCAAAAAGTTTTTTAAAACCATTGTTCTGCAACTTAGGGCACAGAAACAAAAACATTACAAAATAGAACTGAAATAGTATATTGTAAAATGCTACTCTAAGGGCCGTGGTGATGCAACAGGTTAAACTGCTAAGCTGCAGAACTTGCTGACTGGAACTTTGGCGGTTCAAATCCACGGGACAGGGTGAGTTCCTGTTGTTAGCCACAGCTAACAACCCAGCAGTTTGAAAACATGCAAATGTGAGTAGATCAGTAGGTACCGCTTCAGCGGGAAGGTAATGGCACTCCATGTAGTCATGGTGGCCACATGATCTAGGAGGTGTCTACGGACAACGCCAGCTCTTCGGCTTAGAAATGGAGATGTGCACCACCCCTCAGAGTCGGACTCGACTAGACTTACCTTTACCTTTTATAATGCTACTCTATTTTGTATGCTTAGTGCTGAAAGAAAATAAAGACTTGGTTAAAGCCATCTAGAGAATTTGTACCTGAGGTGACATTTGAACTAGAATATTTCTGAACCACATGTCAGACTCTTACAAAGGGCACTACACTAATTCCCATTATCCTACATCATAACTCAAAGTCCCAACATTATGAAATGATGAATATGCCATGACAGTAGCAGAAATCTATCAGTTATTTGCAGAATCTTATTGCAATCACTGATATCTCACAGGCCTAGAATACTACGCCCCACTACATGTCCTCTAATGTCCTATAAAAGGAAAGGGCGGGAAATAATTACAAATTAGTAAGGAAAAAAATTATACAGATCAAATCCTAATATATTTAAGGTAAAATAAATAAAAATCAAATGTGGTCCACATCTGCAATCTATCTGGAATATTTCTGACCATTACCTATTTTACTCTAATATCCAAATGCTTTCCTTCCAGATA